TCTCTTCAATTAATCTATTTAATAGCAGCACTTCCTGTTTTAACATATGTAATATGATTCTCAGATTTTAGTTCATCTAATTAGCATTGAATATGATATACTTGTTTACATTTTTTTCACAACATACCACATGATTCTTATTTAAAAACTTAATATTTTTCTTCTTTGCACAATTATCATGATATAATTCATCGCAATTCATCACTTATATTTTTTAATCAATTAGAACTATTTAAATAACTTTTATTACTACCAGTATCGGATGGCACTTTATCATCCGTCGCCATCTTTTTTGGCGTGAAGAAAGACTTCTGAATAAAGAAAGACAATTTGTCTTTCTTTTATTTCGATATACTCTCTATGAGTACTAGAAACCAATTCGCCAAGGATTTTTGCTTAGATGATGAGATATGTTGTGGAATGCTACTTTTAGATTCTCCGTACCTCTCTTTACATCTTTTAGCATCGTTTGTTTTGTCTCTTGCAATTCTTAGAAGGCACGGAAAAAAGCAAAAATCTAAATTTTGGTTTCGTCAATAGATATCTTCGGATTTCTACTTTCGCGATTTATTATCAGATGTCTATTGCGTCCATACTGAAGCCATTTTATTGTTGTCCTTTTTCGACGGAAAATATTTGTTTTTTCGTTCAGAGCTTCTGTAATAGTCGCTCTGATGAGTACTAGAAACCAATTCGCCATGGATTTTTGCTTAGATGAGAAGATAGGTTGTGGAATGCAATTTCTAGGTTCTCCGTATCTCTCTTTACATCTTTTAGCATCGTCTGTTTTGCCTTGTAATTCTTAGAAGGCACAGATTAAAACAAAAATCTGAATTTTGATTTCGTCAATAAAAATCTTAGGATTTCTACTTTCGCGATTTAAAACAAGATTTGTTCAAGAGTTGTCAGATGATGATTTCGATAGATGTAGATAGTTTGCATACATAATGATGAATAAATAAAAAACATCGTTTATAAAACAAAATCTGCCAATATTCAGGAGTTAAAAGATATGTACCCCAGAGATAAGAGGAATTGAGCAGTAAGAGATGTTGCAAAATGTATTGCAAAGTTTTAAAAATCCTATATCTTGTTGTATTCAGAATCTGCTGTAATCGCCTTTACTGGTTTTCTAAAACTCCTAATTTTTCTACTACTCAAATATTGACATACCTAATATGAATTTGTTTTCAGCTGCCGTAGGTTTTCTGCGCTATGTATCGAATAAATCTTTTACTGCACCAGTTTTGTTAGAAGTAGACCTTGTTACGATATTATTAGAATACAAACTATTGAAAATTCAAATTAAACGAGTTTATTCATCTAAATGTATTATTTTAACTTCGGGAAAGCTAATGAAAATGTAGCGATAATCCCGAAATTATGGCATTTAGGTATAGGAAACATTACACGAAAAATAATCAGTATTTCTTATGGACCTTAAAATGTAAAATATACAGGGTGTTTTATTTGAAATAAGGAAGTTCATTAGATTTCCAGAAAAACGGAAGATCAGACAATGTAAATACATACCACCATAATATCGGCCGCATCATAAGAGGCTTACATATCAAAATCTATAAAAATCGTGCAAGCTGTTTCCGAGATAGTTGAGGTGTTCCATACATAAAACTCCCTCTGTATTGTTGTTAAACCTGTCATTGAGTTCCGTAATAATACTCTAAAAATCAATCCTCGGCAAATAACCTCTAAAATAGCAACTTGGTACACATTCTTAGAACTTGTCAGAGCTTACCAAGAATTTGCCATCAGTAATCGCCTCAGATATAGCAAACTCTCTGCAATACTTCACGAACGTTAAAAGACCTTGAAGGTTCGTGCAGTCAAATCTACTGATATTTTCTTCGCAAAAACTCATTGACATGACTGATCTTTTTCGACAAAAACACGTTAACTTGAGGAATTCAAGTTTCCCAATATTTTTCATAAGAGAGTTGGCCTCAACTCATAGTTTGAGATGTTGAGAGATCATGATTTCTAAGATCAGGTCTTTTTGAAGAACTAAATAATTTATCTAGGTCTTCAAAAAGATCCGTATTTCCCATGACTAACTTTTACCTGCAATAATGGGCGTTAAGTAGGAGGAATATTAATTTTTAAGAATTATATTTGATTAAATTAGTGAAAAATTAATTTGTTTTCTGAGTTTTTGTTAAGCCCTATGTATAGTATTACCAAATTTCCGGCTTGTAGATAAAGAAGATCATGACACAAAGCATCAAACCAACATTGAAGCATGACATGCCATATTCAGGACTGGAGTGAGGCAAGGCTGTATTTTGTCTCCTCTAATCTTCAATCTGTATTCTGAGAAGAATATTTATCGAAACTTGCACGAAACTGAAAAAGGTATTATACTAAATGGTTACCGGCTAAACAACATCAGCTATGCAGATGAGACCATAGTATTTGCGGACAACTTAGAAGACCTACAAGTTCTTATGAACAAAATCACGTGTTACAGTCAACAATATGGACTCAATATATACGTTAAGAAAATAAAGCTTATGATAACTAGCAAGTAAAGGATCAGAAGGTCAACTCTACGTCAACCAATCCCCTGTAGAAAGAGTAACGCACTACAACTACCTCGGCACCATAATAAATGAAGAACGGACCAACAACCAGGAGATTAGAGCACGCATCGGAAAAGCTAGATCCACCTTCAATCGGATGGGGGCCTTCTTTAAGAGTCCCAACCTCTCTCTTGATACAAAAGTAAGAATGCTGCGATGCTACGTCTTCTCTTTCCTTTTTTATGGTGTTGAATCGTGGACCTTGAACGAATATATGTGCAGAAAACGAAGCATTTGAGATGTGGCTATATCGGAGAATACTTAAGATGCCGTGGACTGACCGAGTCACAAATGAGGAGGTCCTCAGAAGAATGAATAAGAACCGAGAGGTACTGACCACCATCAAATCGCGAAAGTTACAATTCTTTGGATGTATTATGCGAAATGAATCCAGACTCAAGCTCAAGACTCAGACATTCAAGCCACTCTGCAAGGAAAAATATTTGGAAAGCGAGATCCAGGAAGAAGAAGAACGTCTTGGTTAAAGAACTTCAGAATCTGGTTCAATACAACATATGTGCAGCTTTTCCGCGCTGCTAACGGATAGGCACATCAAGAAGACGAATTAAGGATTGATCTGTAGGGGAAAGTGCCCCATTCTGAAAAGTTCTGAGATTAACAGTCTAAAATGCAAATTTTGGACGTAATTGAGTAGCACACTACACCTAGTATTGACACAATTTGACTTTGATTCCTAGACTATTTTATAGAACTAAAATATCTAGTTTGCCAAATTATAAAAAACTTAGTGATTAGTTTTTATCATTAATAGATATTAAGCGACAACGATAACAGAACAGAAAAGATCTGAACACTGTGAGGTTTAAATAAATACATTAATATTGTTAAGTTTACCTCTACTAGTGTTTTGAATGTATATTTTGAGTACATAACTAATTTAAAATAAATAATGTGAATTGATACTGACATGGTTTGACATGGTTTCATAATATACATGGTTATTTAAAGGAATCAGGTTTGTTCCGAAACTCAGACAAGTGATTATTGTATTATTATAACTAAAGTGACATGTACATAATTTAATAATCTGTTTTATCTTTATCGCAATGTCTCTGCATTACACCGTTTACCTCTACCTTTTCATAGCACGTGAATTGTTTTTAATGCTTTTGTTGTGTTTTCTGAAACAGCATTTTTTGCCAGCTTCATTCCATGCTCTGTCTATTTCATGTTTAAAATTGTAGGAAATAAAATCGTAGAAATCGTCAAGTTTCTTCTATACTCTGGATTTTCGAATTACGTACGAAAAAGTTTATGAGGTTAAGCAAGCTACTTTTTTGAAGAAATATCTACTTAATTATCTACAAAAATAATTCTTGATATTTTTAGCAATGAAACAGAACCAGTTATGGGTACTTACATGGAAACCATCATTAACGCCGTATCACTTAACATCGCGATGTCTATATCCCTCTTGAATAGAGTCTGACCACTTTAGTGTGATTGTCGCACTTTTTATCACGAGGGTGCACCATTTTTCATAACACAGAGCATAATTTAAATTTACCAGACTGGTAACAGATTCAATGCTTCTTTTCTATTGCAGTTTAACCCAATATATATTATGTACGGGTATGACGCGAAATAGGTAAATAGTCATAATAAACGGTTTCTCTTGCTCCAGTATACTTTAAAACCTTCCTTTTAAAAATCAAAACAAACTTCAGTTCATTATATAATATCAAGAGTAATGTAGTGCCTACAATTGTGAGCCGGCTTTAGTATACTATTTTTTTTTATTAGCAAATTTTTATATACTAGCAACATTTTTTATTTTTTTTTACAGTCCAAATTTCCACTCCCTATGGTTGTAGTTTTTCCCTATAGACAAGTTACACATTCACTTTTTGTTAATTTGTTTATTGTATTGTTCCAAAGCACTGCAAGTAGTTTTCAGATAAGCTCCTTTTCTTATTTAGCTTACACTTATATTGATGATCTTGCCGTCAATTGTTGACTTATCGGTAAAAATAGTCTTTTATAATCTAATTGTCTAATCTAATCTAATTGTCTAATCTAATCTAATCTAATAGAATATTGTAATTTTTGTTTCTGAAAAGTGAGATTCGAAGAAAAGGCAATAGTAGTAGCTCTCCATGATGATAGTTGTAACTTAATTTGTATCCGTCCACATTTTGTGAATGTGGTACTAATTATTTTAATGAGATTGATATTTGAACGATGAATTGGTCAGTAGGTAGCTCGGACTTCAGTCCCATAGAACAAGTCTGAATCCATTTTGAAACTCATTAGGAGGCATGCACATATTTCATATAAATGGTTGTAAAAGTACAATATGCTCTTAGTGAAAATGGGAAATATTTCAATACTTTTAATACTCTTTAATTTTTTCTTTTAATTCCATTTTATTATATTTTTTAGTCAGTACAAATAAAGAAGCATCAAAAACAACACCGACTGTACCATCATTCTCATTTGGAGCAAAACCATCAATTTCTGCGGCAATGACAACCAGTGAAACAGCAAAAAGCATTAGTACAACCACACCGACTTTTTCATTTGGAGCTCAACAGGCTTCCAAAGAAATTCCATCCTTCAGTTTTGGTAGTAAAACTTCACCAGTTTCATCGCCTGTAGGAGCTGGCGCAAGCACAACTGTACCACCAGTTTCGTTAGGAACTGCGTCCAGCGCCAAAGAGGCTACAAAACCTATACCGTCATTTTCCTTCGGTACAGGCATGTCCAGTTCTACATCTGCAGGTATGCCAAATGTCTTGGATTTTAAAAAAATTGTATTCATAAAGAAATATATTTTATTAGGTACCACAGCAAATGATACCACGAAGACAACTACAACTATACCATCCTTTTCTTTTGGGAAATCTATTACTCCATTTTCTTCTGCCAGTCCTTTTACATTCGCAAATGCAGTAAAACCAGTTTCCACTGACAATAAGGAAAAAGATGCAGAGGAAGAGGAAGAACCGCCTACAAATGAATTTACGCCGGTTGTAGAAAAGGATCATGTTTACACAACAAGGTATTGTACTAATTTATGTTGAATATATTTTAAGTGACAGAAAAATAAGTATATTGAGTGCTACATTGAGAAAAAGAAAACACATATTTATATTGAAATCACTATCCAGTTGCCCATTGTGTAGTGACTTTAGAAGTTTATAAACCTACTTGTAAAATAGTATTATATAGTGGCATAAGTATAGAAACTGTGACAGATATGAATAGATATATGTGACGCTCCGTATGATATAGTAACAAGTTAGTATAGTTGGTGATGTATATTAGATCAACCAAAGATTTAAAATTTTAAATTTTCGACTTTGCCAAATGTACAATTTCTGAGATATACGGATAATTGCGTATTTTTAAATGGGACTCGTACATTTTTACAATCTCTTGTTGCAGTTTTTTATTGCCGATGCAACATATAATCTAGTAATCTGATAATAGTAATTATTGACCATTAATATGCATAAATGGGAAAAACATTTTTATTTTGTAATTAATATTGCCGTATAAACAGAAAGCACCAAAAAATTGGTGGTGTTCAATATGACCACCTTGTCTTTGGAAACGGAAATCTATTCTGAATGAAAATTCATCCAACAATTTTCTAATCGTTTCCAGAGAAATTAGTGCTTTTCTATAATTCTATCAGTTCTTGGATAGTAAACAGAAAAACTAGTAGATATTAATAGTAAATTATATAAAAATAGTATTAGATAGTAAAACTCTATGTATAGTATAAATTTCGAACTTAATTTCTATTCATTTTTGTCAATTGTGTTTAATAATTAACATTTTTTAGGTGCAAAGTCTTCGTCAAAAAAGAAGACAAATTCGGCGATCGAGGTGTAGGTAACCTATATTTGAAACCCATACCAGACAGTGAAAAGGTACAGATGATAGTTAGAGCCGACACCAACCTCGGAAACCTATTGCTGAATTGCATTTTATCGGAAAGTATCCCTACCAAGAGACTAGGGACAAAAGACGTTATGTTGGTATGCGTTCCCACTCCGGAATCGGAGCCCCCGCCAGTTCCTGTTTTGTTAAGGGTAAAGTCTTCAGAAGAAGCTGATAAGTTGTTGGAGACATTGAATAAATACAAAAAATAGTTGTTGATTTTTATCTTTTTATTTCTCCTGTATTATGGTCAATATACAATATTGTTTTTTAATAATTTTTGTTTTCTTTATATCCCTATTTACAATTACTGATTATATAGCATGAAGTAATAGATATAATATAAAAGTAGTATTTCTGGCATCTGATATACTTTAAGATATTCGGAGATTCTGGAAGTAAATTTAACTCAATTCAATGCAAGAAAGAAAATTCAAAAATTCAAAAAGATTTTTAAGTCCAAACATTCATTTACAGACAGCAATCCAAACAAATGCATCTCCAAAACCAAACATACCATTTACAGAAAAAATGCCAATACCTGGACCAACAAATACCCAAAAAAAACTTTAAGATAGAACCAAACTTCAGAGATTCTGTCTTTAATACCCTTTAGGAAATATTTGAACAAAAAGAGAACAGAGGTTAAGTAAAATTTCGAAACAATCTGTACCAATAATGAAATCGAAAAGAGAGATAAAATGTTAACACAAAAAAGATGCCAGCTAAACACAGAATATGTGAGAAAGCGTCTTCATCTTCTGATGAAAGTGTGGATGAAAATGAACTCTGCGATGTTGACTAACTTGACGACGCAGCTCCAAATAAATACTGCATAATCTGCAATGACTGGTAAAGATGGTGACCTATGGTTTAGGGGTACAATTTACGTTGGATTGGTTCATCAAGACTGTAGTGGCTACAAAAAAGCAGAAATGTATATTTGCAGAAAATAACAAGGATTTAATGAAAACCACAAAAGCACAATATCTGTGCTTTTAACAAACTGAGAAGCAATAATACATTTTTCGACAATAAGCTCCAATATAAATTTACCTACATTTAAAAACTCCAAGGGGCACAAATCTATGATTGATTCTATAGTCACTAATAAATAAATCCAACCAAAGCAGATACTAGATATTCGAACTTTAAACTCAGCAGACGCAGGGAATGAACACAAACTAGTACTAGCAAAAATAAGAGTGAAAAGTAACACCAAAATATTTTCTAAAGGAAATCACTGAGGAAAAATTCAATGTAGAATCACTGTGAAATGACTCTACAAGAGAAATGTACCAAAGAAGGCTAGCAGAGAAGATACAGCTGAAAGAAATAGACGGCAATTGAAGATATAAACGAGAGCTGGGAGAAAATTAAAAACAACATTGTAGAAGCAGCAACAGAAGCTCTAGGAAACCGCCTTACTGAACAAAAGAAACAACAACAATACACCATGGTTCAGAAAAGAAATAAAAGAGAAATGTAAAAAGAAACGAGAGACCTATATGAAGTACAAAACATAAAATACTCCAGAATCCTGAGACACCTATAGTAGAATATGAAATGAAACAAAGCAGTTAGTAGGAAGAACAAAAAAATATAACTAGTTACGGAGATGCTGAAGAAGGGGTGCGACAACAAAGCTTAAAAGCAAGTAAAGTAGCGGGAGTTCTTAATGACACAATCTGGAAGAACAAACACCTAAGACAAGATACAAAAACAAGAATCTATAAAGCAGCAATTAGACCTATATTAACATACACGGCGGAGACAACACGTGACAGATCTAAAACGAGACGACTGTTAGAAATAACAGAGATGAAAGTACTCCGACGAATATCTGGGAAAAGACTGTTGGATAGGAAGAGAAGCGAAAACATAAGAAGAGCATGCGATATAGAAGACATAAATCGATGGGTAACAAAACGGAAACAGCAGTGGAACGAACAAATTTGTAGAATGAAGAGGATAGGATAGTACTAATAGCATGATATAGGTCACCAAATGGACGAAGAAGTATTGGCAGACCAAGAAAAAGATGGTGCAATCATTTAAACAGTTTTTTTACGTTACTTGTATTGAAAGTACTTCGAATAAAGTGTATTACCCGTATTTTATAATTTTTTTTTCTTATTTGTCTAAATAAAATTAGATTTTTTTAATACGTGAACTCCATCCCCCTATGTTCCCCCAAGTTTAACTGGTTTGAAAGGTTTAGTTTTGAAAAAATTTCAGTTCAAAGTGAAGACACTGCTTTCGAAGTTTTTTAAAAATCCAGTTTTTTTCCAAAAAAAACTCAATAACTAAAAAAGATACAGAAAAATGCTAGAATACAAAAAACTGCTTGTTTTTAGTGAAGATTTTAATTTTGAAAGGTTTAGTTTTGAAAAAATTTCAGTTCAAAGTGAAGACACTGCTTTCGAAATTTTTAAAAAATTCAGTTTAAAAAAAAAACTGAATTTAATAAAGATTATAAATTAAAGATTAAAATTTAAATTAAAAATATTAAAGATTTTAATTTTCTCTCGTTATTTCTGTCGACTAAAAATTAAACGAGATATAAATATTTAAAAGTTGTATTCGCATGCGTTTAGCATCAGCTTTTAGGCTCTTTCAGCGCAACAATTTTTAAAACATAGGGCTTGAAAAAAATTTAATATAAACCATATATATATATATATATATATATATATATATTATATATATATATATATATATATATATATAATATATATATATATTAAGGATTCTACAATATTCACTGCCTTCCCTCACTCAACCGTTTCCATCTCTCTCTGTTGTCCCATTCTCCATCGTTTAGGCCTCTCTTACTTATGGCGTCGTCTACTTCGTTCCTTCAGGATCGTCGGGGTCGTCCTCTTTTCCTCCTTCCTATGGGGCTCCATTCGGTTATTCTCTTTATCCATCTACTGTCGCTAGTTCTTCTTACATGTCCATACCACTTTAGTCTTTTTTGTTCTATATATGTTAGTATGTCTGTTTCTATTGATGTTCTTTGCTTTATTTCGTCATTACTTCTCCTATCCATTTTTTTTTTAGCTGCAGCATCTTCGCAGGCATTTCATCTCTGTTGCTACGATCTTACTACTGTTTTTCTTATTTATAATCTAATTTTCAGCCCCATATGTCATAATACTTCGCACTAATGTTTTATAAATCTGTGTTTTTGTTTTTATATTTAGGTGTCTATACCACCATACTGAGTTAAGTTGTCGGATTGCTGTTCTTGTTTGTCCTAATCTTTGTGTAATTTCTTCCTCTGTTGTTGCCTTTGTCTAGATTATAAACCCCAAGTATTTGAATTTATCCTTACAATAATATGACACAATACACAATTTAAATTTTTGCAGGTATTCGCCAAAAACCGTTTACAAAATGCTTTTTTGACGTGTGATTTGTGAACTTTCAGTCACGAATAACTCCAAAAATATTGACATGTTTTTAACATTCATTATTCTAGCGACGAAAGGAAGATTTAAGAAGATAATGAAAACAAGGTAGAGAAAATAATAGAAAAGAACCGAGGCCTGAAATGCTTAAAATTAAACTTAGGAAAGCCTATCTCATTGAAGGATAAATATGGAAAAGAAATAAGAGAAAAGAACGCAATTCTAAAAGTTACTCAAACATTTTACTGTGATTTATATTCCTAAAACAAGAACCCAGATAACACGGCAAAGGAAGACCTTAAGAGAAAGATAACGAATGTCTACTCAGAAATATTTCCTAACATAGAATACTTTGAAATAAAACAAGCTATGGTACAACTAAAAAACAATAAGGCTTCGGGCCCAGATGGAATACTTGTAAAAATGTTAAAGGATGGGAGTGAAATTATTCTCGAAGAATTGAAAAAAATTTCAACCAACGTCTTCACAGAGGAGAAGTCCCAGATGATTGGAATGAAATTTAATGACAATACTTCTCTTCAAAAAGGGAGACAGGAGAGATCTCAAGAACTAGGTCATATCGGACTAACAACTCAACACTGCAGGAAGACTCTGATACAGACGTCATACAAACTTTTACAGATAACTCCAATGAAAATACAATTGATGTGATAAAGACTCAACAACTCAAAACTGCAGGATAGACTCTGAACAGAACGCTCATACATAATATTTACAAGAAAGCTACAATGAAAAATACAATTGATGTGAAAACCAAAGCTATACCAATCAGCAGAGAGTTCGTCAGGGTGGTGTTATCTCACCAAAGCTATTCACACTTGGACTGAAAGACGTATTCAAAGACATTAACTGGGCAGATAAAGGAGTAAATGGTAACGGAAGAAAACTGAGTCATTTAAGATACGCTGATGACATTGTAATATTCGATACAAGTTTCGAAGAACTACAGACCATGATGACGCAACTATCTTCTATCAAGCTTCTGAAAAAGTTGGTCTTAAGATGAACTTGGAAAAAACAAAAATAATGACAAATACACCAAACATTAGAGAAATAACGTTGACCGACATAAATTTAGAAACAGTAAGCGAATCCATCTACCTGGGACAGATAATGATAGTTAACAAAGAAAATCACACTGCCGAAATTACCAGAATAATAAGATTAGCGTGGGCAGGATTTGGAAAACTGAGTTGGATATTAAAAACCACTAAAATAGAACAATATTTGAAAACCAGAATTTATGATCAATGTATCCTTCCTATACACACGTATGGTTCACAGACATGGACACTCTCCAAGTCAAATATGGATAAAATAGTAAAAGCACAAAGAGCGATGGAAAGATCAATGCTCGGGTGAGACTTATAGACAAAAAAACAAACAAATGGATGAGAACCAAAACCAAAGTAAAAGACGCAGGAGAACATGCTGCCAAATTAAAATGGAGCTTCGCAGGACACAATGCCCGACTGAAGGATAAGAGATGGAACCACGAAGTACAACAATGCAGACCATGGTTAGGAGAGAGAAGCAGAGAAAGACCACAAATGATATGGCTGATGACATTAAGAAGATCAGAGGACACAACTGGAAGCAAGTGGCGCAAAATAGAAGACACTGGATTGATTTGAGGGAGGCCTATGTCCAAAGTTGGATTACTTAAGGCTGAAGAATAAGAAGAAGAATTCTAGCGACTATCGTGGTAGTTTTGTTAAACTTTTTCCACCCTGAGTTGGGGTGGTAATTATCCCCAGAGAACAAGCACATATCACAACTATCAAAGTGCTTCTTTTATAACTTTTTGACATTCTTTTCGGAAACTAGTATTGTATTAT